GAGTAGTCATCTCTTATAACTTCACTCCTCCTAACCCCATGTTTAATTTTCAGAATTCTGCCTTACCGTGGAAATGTTTCTACCTCAACATGGTCCTGATATAATGGCATGTCTAAATCAAAGTCACCTTCCCTTTTACCTCACCTGGGTCCTTAAATATGACAGTGCCATACCTCCTCATAGCATCTTATCTCTTTGTTTTTCCAGTCTAACATATGTGCATTGACCAGTGAAGTTGTCCTGGATAAAACACCTGGCACCAGCTTCTACCTGGGCATCAACTGTCATCCCGTCGATTCCCCTAGACCCCAGTACAGTGCCTCTTCCAGCAGGAAGCAGTTAAAGAGAGAAATCTTTGCCCTTTTTCATAATAGTAATCATAAAACTGGATATGAAAGAGTTTTGGCCCAGGCCGGACACTGTAGCTGAAAAGCCTCAGGCAGAACCAAGGAGCTCCTATCTCTCCCACCCCTAGGAATTTACCTGTGACTCTCTTCCCCACCCCTGGGAATTTACCTATGGTGCCAAAAGAATACCAATGGGCTACCTGTGCATCCCGAATGCCCTTCAGGCACCACCCCTAACCTAAGCTACATGTATGTCTCCACTCCACATGTTCCATGGAGAGATAGCTGACCACTGGGGGGGGGAGGAGATGCCATGCCCCAGGGGATTGGGGGTGTGTCTCCCCACATTCTCAAAATAGGTCATTTATATTTCATACTTCTTATCTTTTCAGCCGCCGCCGGTCCCCCAAAGTTCTATCAATCAGTATAATGCAGAATGTGGTGACCCTGATATTAAATCTTCTAGAATTTTGAGAATGGAGACAAAAAATAAAAGATACAACTAGTGGAACAGTAGATGCATAATCATCAGGCACTCTGTGTTAATCTTAATCAGTTACTATGTTTATTTGTTTTATATACCGTTCATTGCTTAAAGGTTCAGTGGGACAATATTATGATAAACAAGATTTCTCCATTGAGAGGCTACTTTTACCTAACCAACTGATTAAGAGTTTGTAAATTTATATCAAACAAATAACAAAAAATTGTTCTTACAGACCAAATATGAAATAGAAAATTCATTGTTTGAAATCCTAAAACAATTATATTAATCTTATATAGAAAACAATATTCTAATTTGTTAAATTGGACTATTTATTCACAGGTGATGGTTATGCAATTTTTAGGCAAAATAGATATTCATCAACCTAATGATCTTTTGCTTCATGTCTTCCTCCAAAATGCCTGTATAGGTGCCCATGGGCCACCATCAGGAGTCTCCCAGGGATAGCCTACTGAGGCCTGAAAAAGAAGCAGCCACTCCCACACTTGTGAGCACCATGGCCACCATCAGGGTCATGAAGATAGTATGGGCTGGGAGACACAGCCAGCCACACATCAAAAGCGCTGCACATGCCTGGAATGGCCTGCTCTGTACCTCCCTAGGAACCTAGGGTAGGTGGGGCCCAGGTGCCTGACCCATTCCCTTACACCAAACATAGGTAGCTAACATGGAGGTGGTACCCTGCAGTTGGCTCATTCATAGGAAAGCAGGGGTATCTCAAAGAAGAGGAGCAAAAGGCATTCACTGGCCTCCAACCCAAGCAGAACAAGCCCAGGAGACATATACATAAGGAAATTGGTGGTAGCACTCCTGGAATCTTTGGGGTGATATAAACTGAGGTAAAGAAAGTATTTCATGAGGCTGTAAAAAAATCAGGTCAGAAATAATATCTCACATAAAAGAAGAAATGGCAAACATAATGAAAGGGTCATATGTATCTAAAGAAGATATAGATAAAAAGAAAGGTTCATAGCAAGCATAGGAAAATGAAGGAAACCTTCAGTGAGCAATATAGGAGAGAACTGACATGCATGAAATAGATACAAAGAGACATTCAGAAAATTAAAATTACATTGTCAAAACTCCTTGCAAGAAACTGAAACTAAACTCTCAGACTTTGAAGACAGGATTGCAGACAGTGACTGCAAAAGGAAGGATCTCTTAAAAATAACAAGGAACCAAGATATGACAATTAAACCTTTGCAGGAATATGCTAAGAAAAATAAATAAAATCTGATAAGTGTCAGTGAAAAAGCAGGAGACAACACAAATGGCATACAAAAACTATGTGCAGAAGTCATAGCAGAAAATTCCCTAATCATGGGTAAGGGAACCCATATACAAATAAGATATACATATAGAACTCTTACTAGCCATAATTAATACATCTACACACACATATAACAACCAGTATCTCAGAAATTCAGCACAAGAACAGAATATTAAAATCTATTACACAGAAAAATAGATCATCTATAACGGAAAACCTGTCAGAATCATACATCAAGTCAAGAAACGCTTGAAGTACTTCAAGTCCTGAAATAAAATAACTTGCAACCCAGACTGTTGTATGCTGCATATCTGCCTTTAAGTTTTAATGGAGAAATGAAATACTTTTTGACAAGAACAACTGTAGGAACTCATGACCACCAAACCAACCCTACAAAGAATACCAAAGGGCATTCTAGAGGGAGATATAACTGACCACTGTTCCAGGAACAGTGGCAGAGGAAGACTGATAAGCAGGGCAGGCAGTTGAATGGAGGGGAAAATTAGGGAGCCAATGGCAGGAAAATAGGAAAGCAGACACAAGCTAGTGCATATTGGCCATAATCATTATCTATATGGCCTCAATTCACCAATAAAAAGAAATAGATGCTGAGCAGATCATGAAACAAGATCCATCAATATGTGGTATACAAGAAACATTTAACTCAAAAGAGAATTCATAGGCTGAAAGTCAATGGAGAGAAAACAATGCTACATGTGACAGGGAACCAAAACAAGAAGGGGTACCTTGCCCATCAATAAGAAAGGTATAGTATTTTTATACAGTGTACAGCTACTTAGCTATACAGAAGGATAATTGTGAGGCTCTTGCAAGTAAATGGATGCAACTTGAGATCATGCTCATGGGTGAAAGGGTTCAGAGCCACATGGGTAAACTTCATGTTTCCTCCCTAGTATACAAAACTACAGGAGTTAGTGGGATCCAAAATGTGTAATAGATATTGTAAAAGTGAAAGCAGAGTAACTTCTAAGAAGGGAAGGTGGCAGCCAATGTTAGTTTATTATTTTCTTAATTTGAAGCCATGTATTTTCATTGTTCTGTTTTGTTTGGTTTTACTCTGACTTGTTTTGTTTGATTTTATTTAGTTTTGTTGGATTTCATTATATCTGATGATGAGAGCAGCTATTTTAAAGATAACATGATATATTATGGTAGACATTGTTGATTTCCTATTATCTCATTTTGAGGCCCTGTATCACTTTCACTGCTTTGTTTGGATTGATTTTATACTGTTTTGATTTGTTTGATTTTATTATGTGTTATGGCATAGGCAGCTACTTGGAAGATAAAAAGAGGTATAATGGTAGCCATTATTGATTTTTTATTGTCTTGTTTTGAAGTCCTGTATTGTGGTCACTGTTATGTTTTGATTGGCACTATTCTGTTTTATTTTGTATGATTTTATTCTCTTTAAAAGAAAAATTTTAAAAATGCCTGCATATTTCCTAAAATAACTCCTCTCAAACTAACACCTAATGCCACAGTTTATTTTACAGATGGATCCTCAAAATGCAAAGCAGCTATCTGGATGCAGGATTTTCAACGTGTTTTAACTACTCCTGGTCTTTCAGCTCAGTGATCAAAACTTGCTGCTATCCTGTAGGTAATAAAATTTTTTCTATTATATATATATAAAGTATTAATGGTTCAGTCTGGAAGGTGTGCTTGATCCAGAGGCTAAAAATTGCCAACTTGTGATCAATCCTAGATGCTTTATTGTTAAATCTGTATATTATTTTTAAAAAGGTCATTCGAGCTAGCTAACTAGGCCTGCTCCCATTTTCATAGGTCATATTAGATAACATTCTAAATTACCTGAACCCTCAATTTTGGTTAATCAACAGGTTGATGCCCTAATTTTTTGTTTCTTCTTTTGATCAAAATGAGTGATTTCATAAATATTTTCATTAAAATTTAAAGCCCATCAAGAAAAAATTTTCAATCTTCTAGAATGTGAGCCAGATAAATTATACTGTCCCATGCTTCCTGTGACAAAATCCCTTCACAATTGCTGCAAGAGAGCAGCAATCCAGGGAACATAAAACCAATGTGGTATGACAAATGGATATTACACACATTTCCTCATTTAATATGTTGCAATATGTTCATGTCTTTAGAGACACATATTCTCACAAATTCTATTTAATGCTCAAGAAAAAAGGCTCACCAAGTATAATAATGTTTTTCAACTTTTATTGATATGGAGATTTCCAACTATAATGTAATGACCCTGTCCCATGTTGCTGTTATCCCTTACAATCCCCACAAGGACACGCCATAATAGAAAGAGCCCATTTAACAATTAAACATCAATTAGAAAATCAAGAAAAAATGGAGATACACAGGTCACTCCTCAGACTAAATTGGATTTTGTAATCTTTGTCTTAAATTTTTAAAATTCTGCTGCAGATTCACAAATGATGCCTGCAGAGTTCCACTGGATTCTCTTGCTTTAATTCTATTCTAACTCATTGTATTAAGCTTGGAGAACTCCATTCAAAAACAGTAATAATTATGGGATGAATGCTGGGTGTACAGCTGCCTGTTAATTTTGCAGATCCTTAGCAATACTCACCCAACTCCCTTTTACTCAGTGATCTTGCTTGATTGCATGTTACATAGGACAAAATCAAAGTTTTAATGATAAAATTCAAATTTTTACAAATTCACTGGTATGCTAGATCAATGCACCCTGTATTCATAACTCAAAGTTCATTTCCAGTTTTATGTGGAAATTGTAGGACTCAGTGCTGTCCATTCTAAGACTCAATGCTGTCTTCCTTCTGCTTTTATTCTTAATATGCCAGAGAGGAATCACAACCAGCTGATGTCTAGAGGCCCAGTCACCCAGACTTACCCTGGTGCATCAAGCTTCAGCTCCAAAAGAAAAGAAGAATCTCCTGAGTCCCAGCTTGATGCTACTGATGCAGGCAATAATCAGTGAAATGAACTGACATAAAAATGAATTGAGAGTCTGTGCTAAGCCAGCATGACTTGTTGTTGAGACCCAGCTGGGTTAAAGACACAGTATATAATCTTTAAACCAATGCCAGTTCCAAGAGTAGCAAACCATCTGAATTTCTGGTGCCCGAAAGCAAGATATCATGACAACTGAGGACTTTGACTCCTACAAATTATTTCTATCTCAGTAATCACAGTTTACAGAAAATCAGGTTACTAGTTAATTTTGATGTTCCTGTGTGATTTTCCAGAATGCACGGTTCTTCAATTCTTGAACTTTGACCGCGTCAGCAGTTCAGTCCACTGCTTCCTGCACCCCAACAGCAGACCCCCTACCAAGCTGTGCACCTAATAAAAGTAAGGGACACCATGCCTTATGGTCCTAGACCATCAGTGAGCTTTGACCACCCCAGTACCTCCTGTAACTGTAGTGTTGATGCATTACGTCTGAGTTTTATTCTGTATGTATGAGCACAAGATCAGTGGTCCTAAGCTGGGGTACTATAATGCTTGTTTATAGTAGTTTTACATCTCAAATTTTATTTTAAATCTTTAATTTATTGAAGCTTAATTTTAAATAGTGTGAAGTAATGGTCAAATTTCCTTATTCTACTCTTGGACACACATTTTTTTTTGCAGCAGTATTTTTCTCAAGAGATCTTCTTTAGGACAAATTGACCATAGTGTGTCAATTTGTTTATGTTCCATTAACTTGTATTTCTGGTTTTGTATCAGTAACTTGTTGTTTATCTTACTATACTACGCTGTGTAATATGATTTGATGTCAGGCATTTTGGTAGTTCTCATAATTTTTTGCTCATGATTGCTTGACTATTTGGGAATTATGTATGTTGGCCCATTTTAGAATTATTTCTTCTATTTTTATGAAATACATATTTATATATTGAAATAGATATCACTATATATGTATATATAACCTGTGCACTTCTGTAAGTAGTATGGATATTTTAGCCATTTTAGGTTTTGATTTCCCTTTAGAGCCTGCTTCATTTTTTTTTCAGCAATTTGTACTTTTCTAACACGTATTTAGTCTTCTATTAAACTTATTCCTTAGTATTGTATTTCTTCTAAGGCTATTAAAAATGGAAATGTTTTTCTTGATTTATTTTTAAATATTAATTTAAATTATAATAAATGATATTGAGTATTTTATGTCAATTTTAAATTTTGCATCAATAATTATGTTTATTCATTCTAATTGAATGTGGAAGAATCATTGTGATTTTCTGTATATAAAACTATAAAAATCACTTATCTACTAATGGAAATAACTTTACTCTTTTCTTCCAGTTTCAGTGTCTTACATTTTCTATTCTCAACTGCTTGCTCTAAGATTGCAAGCATTATGTTGATTTGAAGCAATGAAAGGATTGTGGAAAAAAATTAAATTAAAGCTCATTGTATAAGACCTATGTTGATATACCTTCCTTTCATATCTAATTTCCAGAGCATTTCATCCTAACAGGATGTTTCATTTTGTTTGAAACAATTTTGCAACTACTATAATGGTCAAATAATTTTTAAATTATTTTGTTTGTGTATGTTGTTAATCTTATTGATTTACATGGCTAAAATACCCACATGCAGTGATAAATCCTACGAGATATACGATGGCAGTAATTTTTAAAATTTATTTATTAATTTATTGATTTATTTTTGGTACCAGGGATCAAACTCAAGACCTTGCACTTGCTAGGAAGGCATTTTTGTTGCTGAGCTAAGTCTCTGACAACAGCATTTTGATGTTGAATTATTCTGAAAAGTTTTCTATCTGTTTCCATAAGGAACAACAATCTCTTCTTTCTTTCAGTATTATCATCTGAATTTGTCACCGTAGTAACTCTACAATTGTAAAATATGTAAAGTGATGGTTGAAGTCCTCAATTCTTTTGAGGGGGCTGAGAATGCTGATTTTAGTTCTTCTTTAATCTTTGGTAACATTAAAATCTTTGGGTCCTGAGCTTTAATGTTTGATGAATATTTTTATAACTGATAAAATGTTTTCAGTAGTTTTTTGTCCATTCAGATATTCTGCTTCTTCTTTATTTAGGGTTGGTAAACAGAATGTTTTTAGAATTTAAATATTTCTTCAAGCTTATCTCTCTTGTACATTGAGAGAGCTCAAGATATAGGCCTCTACAGATACTTTTTAAAAGATTTCTGATGTTGTTCATAATTTTTCTTTTTGACTAAGTTTTGACTCCATTAATTAGTTTTACCTTGGAATAATTGTCAGTTTCATTGAAATTTTAAAGAAATTTTATTTCATTGTTGATTCCTCATATTGTTCTGGTCTCTTTATTGCACCATTGAACTTGATTATTCCTTCCTTCCAAATTTGAGCACAATTTGAGAAGCTATTGCAAGTTCTTTAATGGAAAATTTACCTGAGCTCTTTATATTTTTCATGTGGGAATTCATCATATAAATGATCCTAATGAAACTACATTTGCTGTATATGTTTTAATATGATGCTTTTAGCTTCTTGGCTTTTTTTTTTTTTTCTTTTCCTGAAGTGATCTCGACTTTCACTCTGTGTTCTTCTATTTAAATACAGACACATTTTTCTCCTTTTTGAATGATATTTACGTTACATTTATTTTTCAATCTCTCCACTTTCATTCAATGTGTATTATTACAAACGATGCATAGAATGCCACTGATATTCTGTAAAAGTGATGGGTAAGATTATAGGTAAGGGATTTATTTTTCTTCTGATACAGACATTCACTTTACATCTAGATCTGGAAGGAAAACAGCTTCTTTTTCTTAGAGTTCCTCTTCAATGCTATGAGCAGAGACTGCTGCTGAAGATGTAATTTAAGATGATGCATAAGCATAGGTGGGCATATGGTGAATGTAGGAAGCGAAGCCTTGCAGAGAACCATGGCAGGGGCATGGAGCTCACAGGCTGATTGGCAAATCCAGAAGTGCTGCCGTGTAGAGTGTGATGGCAAAGAAGGATGCAGCGTTTCAGGTCATGCAATATCTTAGGGAATTTGCAGCTGGACCAAATCACGTACGATTACATTGAACTTGAAAAAAAAAGGTGAAACATCTGTGCTCTGTCATATATACATGGAATTAAATAGTTTGTTTCATAACTTAAGCACCACACCCTCATATGCAAGGATAATCATGTTTTCTTTTGCATTTGCCTTTTGTAGTGAATGAATTTCTACCAAAATTCCATTTGTTTGTCTTGCACTTCACTAATCAATTCTTTAAATATTTTACCTCTACTTCTCCTAGTATTTTCCCTGTCCTCTAAATGCTTTCTTTGATTTAAATTACTATACCTATTTAGAAATCACTTAAATCTGATTGATTCTGACCTATTTCTGTTTATGATAAGCCAAACTCTTAGCAGTAATGCTAATTTTAATAGTTTGTGTCTCAGTTTTATTATCTGTAAAGCATGTCTAGAATCATCTTTTTTTCAGTAATGTGAAACATTACTGAAACTAACAAATTAAACAGTCTTATGGAGTGTTATCTATCTTAAACTTTATGTTTTCTATGTAGTTCAAGATATTATCAGAAAAATAGGCCTTCATCACAGACATAAAACCTTATCAGCATTTGTTATTAGTTGATTTGTTGATGAGAGACATCTTTTGGGGGGTAAAATGGAATCTCATTGTTTTACTTTGCATTTCTCTAGTGATGAATGATGTTGAACATTTTTTCATATAGGTGTTTTCCATTTGTATTTCTTAATCTGAGAAGTCATTTTTGGATTGAATCTTTGAATTTTGAGGGCCCAATTTTTAAAAATTCTTTATATATTCTATAAAGAAGTCCTTTATCTGAAGGACAGTTAGTGAATTTTTTTTCCTAATTAGTGGGTTTTCTTTCACACTGTTGGTAATTGAGATGCAAAAACTTTTAGTATGATGAGATCTCAGTTGTTGATCCTTTGAAGTTTTTCCCGGGTAATTTGATTTTTGTTCATGAGTGTCTGTATACCAATATTACTTCAAGATTTATATCTACTTTGTCTTCCAGTAGATTTAGCAATCCTGTTTTAATATTTATATCTTTGATCCATTTTTACTTTAGTTAAAAGCATGGTGCTAGAAATTGGTCTATATCTGGTATACTACTTTTTATTACTTTTAAAATAAAAATTAAAACTTTATCAGGCACTATGTTGACAATATGCAGTTGCATGATAATTAACTTCATATATTTAAGTGCTTTCTTCTAATGTAAATATTCAAATGATCTTCATTTATCTTTTCATTTGTCTATTTCTCCCATTTAGTTATAGAAGACTGTTTTTCTAGATATTGTGTTCTTTTAACAGTCATCAGGGAGCTTTTGAGTGTGTGTGTGTGTGTGTGCACGCACACGTGTGTGCACCTAGGTGACCATTAGGTAAAGCAATCAGTTACAAGAAAGGCACATGACTTTCCTTGGTTCTTGTCAATGACTGTTGATTATTTGACACTTACCTACAGAAAATAAGCAAGATAAACAGTGTTTAATTTTGCAACTGTATTATATGGGATGAGAAAAAACTTCTATAGGTAAGATAGCATAGAGTCCAAAAGCAGAAGTATTAGATACTAGATGAGAGAGTTATCCCAGAAAATATGGCTTCATTAAAATAAAATGTCCAAGTGAATATTTTCTGCTTGGTAGGTCAGGATAGTTCTGTACTCTAGCATGAAGAGCAGTGGATCAGGTGTACAGGTGAGCTACAGTTTCATCATTTGTCAGTCTTCTTAAGGAGATGATACTGAGGTACAATTATAGGTTTTAGAACCATTGATAAAGGTAATTGAAAGTTTAAAATAGTACTCTACTTTCTAATGTAAAATCACTGTACAAAAGTAAAGTTAATGAACAATGATGAAGTAGATGTTGGAAATACTGCAAAGGTTGATGTCAAAGATCATGAATAACTAAAACAATATTTTTGAAGAAAATCCTAAAAATATTTGAGGACTTTGAAAATTTGATGCTGAGTAGAAAGGAGACTGTTTGAAGAGCATTGTCATTAATCCCTGAGTAGAGATCACTGCAATTTGGTATGAAAATTACAAAGGCAGGAAATAGGATGACACGAATGCTGCACAACTGAGAATCTAGAAATGATATTCATGCAACAAAGAGAATACAAGGAACTCTAATGGCTTTAAAGTTTGCTGATTTTACCAGCCTATCATTAGCTAACTCCATCTATTTAAGATTTTGCTAAAGTGTCCACAACTTCAGTATTTGAAGAGACATCTTTACTATGACAGCCTATCATTCAAATTGTAGCTTAATGCTTTAAAATAATTGCTTGATTATAAGCCTAGCACTCAAGCAGAAAAACCCAAAATGAGATCTCAAAAGTATGTGCAATACTCTTTTCTGTAAAAATAGTGTTTGTCTTTATTGTACTTTGGAATCAGGCAGTTTGGAGATGTAGTTCTTAAGAAAGAAATTATCGTACCCACACACATCAAAATAACTTACTATGACTAGAAGCTGAATGTGCTGTTTGTATTTTTCAGCTTCCTTGCTCTGAATTCAGTTAATGAAGGCTTTCTGTCTCTTTAATGACTGATTCAATTTGTTTGTTGAAATATGAGAGATACAAGAAAACTATGTCTAATGTGTAGCACATTACTTGTATTACTCTTAATCTCATGTTCAGTGACAAAGGTCAGTGAAAAGTGAGAAGCCATCAGACATTGACCTGTGACCATACTGATTTACAGTTGATGGATTTGTGCTCACCCAGGCTCTTACAAACCCAGTGGACCAGAGAAGCTTCAAAGATTAAGGAACAGGCTTAGTTTTCAGATAGCTGGATGTCCAGTTCTCATAAGCTGGACTTTTGCCCCTTACTCCAATCCAACAAAGCACAACAAACTCATCAGAAAGCAAATATTAAACAGTTGCTTTCAAAACATGGTAAAATTATAACACTGAAAGCCAATTGATATGATCACCTTTTAAACTCAGTAGGTAAATCCATTTTCAGTGTTAACAAATACATTGGAAAGATTTGTGTTTTCAACAATATGTATGTTCAAGAAGAGATAAACATTCTTTTCATATAGTCATTTTCCGTATCATACAGATACATACATGAATTTCAAATTATCTTCATACTAATTGATATATTTTATCTCCTCAGTTACACATCAAATACTGAAATGAAAATTGTGGGTAGAAATGTACCTAATTTTATAAGGAGAAAACAAGTTCAATGATATATTTTCTGAAGCAAAGAAAAACTGATTGAAATATGAGTGTTTGGCTTTAATTATTGTTTTGTAATGATAAATAGTCCCTGTCTTTATTGCTGAGGACCAATTTAATGCAATATAAGACGATAATAATTAGCATTAACAATTTGGCATAAAAACACATTGAGAGTGTTCTAGGTCTATGAGACTTCTGGTGAGAGCTGTCATTGGTTTAGGAGAGATTAATCTTTGAGCTGAGGCTGGCAAACAGACAGTGAATTCTGGTGCAAATCCAAAGTAAGATAAAACAGCAGTTGAGGACTTTAACTCCTGCAAATTCTGTCTAGCTCAGTAATTATACTCAGCAGAAAATGAGGTTGCCAGTTACCCCTGATGGGTTCCTGTGTGATTTTCCAAAACTTCCTGTTCCTCAATTCTTGAATCTTGCCTGCATCAGCAATTCACCTCATACTTTATGGCCTTAGTCTGTCACAGATCTTCTTGCACCCTGGAGGGCTTGGTTACTGCAATGTATATATTTTGTCTGTATTTTATTCTGTCATCATACCTCTGAGCAGGCGACCAGTGGTTCTAGGCATGGGTGCCAATAAATGGCGCCATATGTGTGGCACTATAGCCTGATTGCAGATGACCACCTGAGACACCACTGGAGACCAGAGAAGAGGACAGGACTTCATATGATGAATAATAGGACCACCTAAAGTGTGAGGTAGCTGATTACTTGATGTGAAAAGGTTTTCAACTGGGATTAAGAATGTGACAAGACGTACCAGCTGAGAGGTAAGAATATGTCCAGTTGTTTAATGCATTGATAAAGCAAGCTAAGATTAGAAATCCAAGTAGTAGTTAAAAGGTAGTGTAAAGTTAATTGTTGGTCTCCTCATGAAGGATACTTGACTTAAAATTTGGGATCACACAAGAAACTCACTAAGGCACACTCAACAGTGTGGTCAGTTCATCACTCCTGAGACATTTATTTCCTAAGGCCTGGTATACTCCGCTCTCAGGCTCTTTTAAGGCTAAATGTGAAGCTCATCTTTCTCTGAAAAGTCAAAAAGATGTAGCTTCTCAAATGAAAGAAAAACTAACCAAATCGCTTCCTAAATTGCAACCCCTATTTCTGAAAGCTACTTTCCCATCTGTTAAGAAACCTCCAGGCCAATGCAGCATTAGCAATTTCATGGAGGAACAGGATGAACTCCCACCTCTTCCTTCCCCAGAGGCCTTACCATTTCCTCCACCTGAGGCATCCTGTTGCTGCCTGAACTGATCGCTAGTCATTATCAAACAGTTTCACAAAATGAAGCAGCCCAAGGAGAAAGGTTTGGCACACTTGTGTTTCCTCCTAGGAAAAACTAGGGATCCCGATAACACGATTGCTAATATTAATATTCATGTTCTTTTTCAATTAAAAAATTTAAAAATATAAAACAAAGAATTGTAAATAATAGGCCCCAAAGTCCATATATAATTTGTCTCTTTTAGAGAATATTAGACTTACCTGTTTGTTTCTTTTAATTTGTATCGTTTGGCTAAACATGTTTGCTGTGTACTCAGACCCATTACCTGAATGAATTCAACCCCAGAGAATTTTCATTTGCTCGATAGTATCTTTCCAAAAATGAGTTTTCCCAGATCTTAAGTTATTACCTTTATGAAGAACCAAATCTTAATAAACCTTACTTTCTATTTTGTTCATCTAACACTGGTGCTGAACAGCATTCTTTTAGTCTTGGGAGGCAAATATAAAAGGTTAAATGGTAGTTTTTACTGTAGACTTAACATGCTTTTATGGAGATTTTACTTATGATTTTAAACCTTATTTTCCTGTTTGCATACTCAAAGTATTCCTTCCTCATTTTTATGAATGACATATGGTCCAACGGGAAACACGCACAAAGACAAATGAGGATAATAGGTAGATAATTTCAGATTTACCTTTATAAATAACATGGAATGTTCATGGGAAAAGGTGAAAGTTAGGGAGGACTGTTCTTCAGTGGGTCTCCATATTATACAGTCCATTCCCTCCCCATAAAAAGTATCACTCTGCTTAGGTAGGAATTATATTCCCTCTACCCCATCTGATCATATAACAATGCTGACCCTATTTAGATTCTCTTTGAAAATTAGCATTATCCATTGAACAAGGTTATATTCATTAGGGAAAAAGTGAGGCCACCAATGGTCAAAAAGTTAATTGATCCTAATTAAATATAAACTGATATTTGTACATACAATCATCATGTACTCCTTCACAGGGATGTGATTTGGGCTAAGACTTCCTTTTCATGTTTTAATTGTGGTCTCACACATTGCATCCATTCTGTCTGATTGTTGACTTCTCATTCAGTTATCATTATGAGTGCCTGGAGGCTCAAACGTCTAGCTGTCTTCTTTCTGTTTATATTCTTAATATGCCATAGAGAAGTTGCAACTAACCAAAGTCTAGATGCCATAAGACCTTGACTTATACTGGTGAATCTGATTCAGCTTCAAAAGCAAAAAAGGGAACCCCTGAGGACCAGCTTGAAGTTGTTTGGCACAAAAGTAGTTGAGAATCTCTCCTAGTCCTCCATGACTTGTAGCAGGACTTCCAGCTAATCTTTAAGCCAATGGCTAGAGCTGAGGCTAGCAAATAGTCTGTAAAGTTCTGCCACCTCAAAGCAAAATATCACTGCAGTTGACTCCTGCAAATTCCGTCTCGCTCGGTTTTATAATTTGTGTCAGGATGTTCCCCAAAATCTCACTGGGTCATGTGGAGGTGTTTTTGAAGGTAACTGAATCTAGAGTTTGTGATTGGTTCATTTCTAGTGCTGGAACTGATGGTGAGAGTGCCCCCCACCCCCACCCCGGGACAGATAAGCTACATAGAATATAATGCAACAAAAAAGTTTTCCTCTCCCCTTTTTGTCTGCTTCTGCTCTTGCTTCTTTTGCTATCTTCTGCCTCCTGGAACTATTGCCCCTCTGCCATCCCACCCTGCCTTGGATCCAGTGAATTATAGAGTGAAACCTCCACAGATTGGGAGCAAATTAAACCTTTTCTTCCTTAATGTTGGATGCCAGCTATTTTGTCTCAGCAATGAGAGAAAAGGGGCTAAGATACTCAGTAACTACAGTTAGCAGAAAATCACTCTTAGTTAATCCTGAACTGTTCCTTTGTGACTTTCCAAACCGCACTGTTCTTCAATTCTTGAACCTTAGCCGCGTCCATAGTTTACTTCGCTGCTTTTGCAGCCTCTTAGCACACCCCAATCAAGTACATCTCAATTATTATACCTAATAATAAATACCTAATAATAAAAGCCAAGGACTCCATGTTACGTGGTCTAGCCCGTCTCTGGGCTTTAAAGATCATGGTGCCCATGGTAATTAAAATACTTATTTTTCTGTTTTATTCTTTTGACATACCTCTCATTTGGAGATTGGAGGTCTTATGCCTAGATTAAGTTTTAGGAATTTTTCTTCACTATTTCCCACTATTCTTTTATCAATTAAGATTTTAGTACATTTTAGATATACATAATGACAACATACATCATAGGATATTTGTCCTTATACATGAAGTAATTTGACTCAGTTTTATCCATTTCCCTATCCTCCCTCCAACATCTCATTATTTCTTTATTCTGTGTATCAAGTCTCCCATCCCAGACATAGCCGTTGTACTAACTGAGACTGTACAAGCTGTATCAGTAAGAAAGCCAAGTTTGGAATGGAATTATTTTTTTTGTAATACAAATATGAGATGTTTTGTGAAAGTATGTTTGTGTGTGCGTGTATGTGTGTGTGTGTGTGTGTGTGTGTGTGTGTGTGTGTGCATGTGTATGAAACATGGGTAAGACGATGAATATAATACTGTGTCATGGAGTATAATCTAGTGAATTTAATGCAAGAGTCATCTTTCTATATATTTTTAACTGTTGCTTCATTAAAAATTCTATTCAATTGTATTCAATCAAGTTGCATCCAGAATTCAGATGGCAAGTGCAATATAACCAGCATTCTGAAATGAAACTTTAAATTTACATGTGCCTTCCCTATCCAGAATACAAATCAAAAATTCTACTAAGAACTATCTTTGAACTTTAACCCTTAAAGAAATTGTAGGTATAATGAATGTTTGCCGCTTCAATCCCTACTAATAATTAATGCAATACTCTTACCGTATTTTTTATTACTTTCAGTTAGTTTTCAATACTACTCTGTTCAACATTTCTGACATCCTGTTATTAATGAAATACTTACTTCACAAATTATTTCTAGAAATCACCTGACAATGTCTTTGACTCCCAGAAGTAAATGGATAATAATCTACACCCATCACCCTCAACTACAGATTTTTTTCACTATTTCCTAAAATAGTAAGTCAACACTATGCAAATAATGTCCAAAAATTAAATCTCAGGACATTGTCAGATTCAGTGTTTGCTATTCACACTACTTTAATCTTACTTCTCAAAATCAGTGCAATTCACCAAAATTTATCATGAAAGCATCTTTCTCTATTAAATGCTTTGGTCATTATTCCTATTTTTAACTCTAAGCTTTTAAGAAAGACAGTAACAGTGTCTTTAGTGATCTCTGTGGCTGGCTTCCCATCTCTCCACTATATACAGAGTTTTAGGGCACCACTTGAATCATTTCATTTTTTACCCAAAGTAGACAAAAGAGTCAGTGTCACTCGATCAACATTATGAGGGAAGTATTTCACGGAGTGACATGCTTAAGATATCCAACAAAACACCTCTCTTATTGAAGCTGCTAACACTGAAAAAAACCCAAGTATTTTAAGGTCCATAAAATATTCATCGTAGACTTACATTAGGTAAAGTTTTGGCAGGTTTGCAGTGCAGTCATCCAACAAATTCAAAATTAGGCAAATATGGATGAGGAAATTCAAAATCCCAATATGTCCGAATTAGCCAAATTTCAGCTTTACCCACAATCTCGCATAAGGCAGTGGGTCTTCATGAAGAAAATGAAATTTTGGTGCAGGAAATTAGCACATTTACTCACTGAGGGAAAAAATTATTGATAATCTCCTTGCGTGACATTACAGAGTAAGTCTTCTAAAATAATTATATGTTAATATGTAGAATGGAGAGGGAAGAGAAAGTGGAAGAGGAAGGACAGGATATGGAAATGAGGGAGGAAAGGGTTAGTGGGAAAAAGGAAATTTTAAAGCATTGTTTAAAAACAATAAACTATCCAAAATTAATTATGTATGCAACTACTGGCAAGTTTAACACTTTTTCTTCCTAATTAAATGGCAGAAAATACTTTGGCTCTAGCACATAAGCCTCTAGTCACCCTTAATTAATTTTCAATTTCCATTCATTAGTTTTACAGGTTTTTGTAGTTGGTGGTCACATGTTCCACTCAAAGAACCAACAAAACCATTTTCTGGAGTCAAATCTCATTTCCTAAATTGATTTGTTCTTCTTTTCTTTGTGAAAATAACAATTCTTTCACTAAGTAAGACTCAATAGGAATCCCTGGATATGTGTAAAACATACATAGAGATCACCAATAATACATACTTAATGTTACTCTTAAATGATGTTTTATGAAAGGGATGCTTCTACATATTAGTTTTACAGCTTTGTGAAGAATGTTTGTAAATAATAATAGGAACTACGTTTATACATAAAAATCATGTTCTCAAACTAAAATTGTTAATTTTAAAGAAGAATCTTCCCTGTTTATGAGCTGATTAGGAAAAGTGTTGATTTTTCGCAGATAAATCAGATGACTTGTTTTTACATTCATCATGTCATAATTCTTGAATTTATGTATAAATCTCAATTTGTATAGCCCAGTGAGTCTGATTTGATAAAGAAGAAGCATTCCTCAGAATACTAATCTTAGAATTACCAAAGGTTGGATGAAAATTCTATTTTATATTTCCACAACAATTCATTTATGCCACCTAGATGCCTTATTACAAGTGTGCTACATCCTACTGGATCATTAATACCCTATGTACTTTTTATATTCATAAATTTTATATAACATTTGAAAAATCCATTTTTAAAGAATGTATTAAAATTCATATTTAAAGCATTGGTTCACCAATGCAAACTTTATGTCAATAAAATCTTAAGAAAAGAAATTTCAACAAAAATATAAAAATACTTTGGCAAATAAACTTAAGAGATATTTTAAACGTTGTATTTATCCACAAAGAAAAATATTAAATTAAAACTTATCACTATGTATATTTTTATATTATATAGCTGTAAACTATACAACTTCATATTTTTATATTTCATAGATCTATATTGATAGCATTTGTATAGTAATGTACAATTAATAAATTGATTATTCCAATTCACTTATTAGTTGTATTTATTGTAATTGTATTATTCACAGAAAATAGAGTATTTATGTGTAATTCTATTTATAGTTATATAATGATGCTTTATACAAAGATATACATTTGATATATTTCTAATTTAAAAATTAAACGAGCTATTGAGTATTGATGGGATCTGTTACTTTAAGTCTATATGATTAATACAATAAGATGATTTTTAATTAAAGACCATAGAGGTAACTTCAATTTATAGAAACATGTCTTACTGTTACTGACAAAGGTAAGAGTAAAATTTAGTGGTTTACAGTTACTAATCTTCCTATATAAGTCATGTTAGCTAGGTTGAGACACATAGACAGCTACCTATTCAAGCTAAGTATTAAGTTCTTTCAAATAATATGTGAGAAAGTTAATATGCAGACTCCAGTTTTAAAAAGTAAAATGTACATTTTTCATTTCATTTTCACATTTTCTGAGGACACAATAAAAATAACCTTGTCCAAATACATGAGCAAAAATGACTCTTAAGTATAAGAACAGTAAGACAACAGGAGGTGGCAGCAGAATCTACTTTATAACACTTCAGAGAAATAATGTCTGTGTGTTTATTGCACAGTGCTTTATTGCTTACTATTTACTGAAGTTCATGACGTAGTGTCAATTATGTAAAGTAAAAAATCACAGTAACCAAGCACAGAATAACAACAATGGAGGATTTTAATGAATTTTTCAAATTTCATAAATAATTGAACATGAAATTGACTGAATTTCTCATCAGATTGTTTTTGTAATGTGAGAAAAATAGCTGGATGGATAAACGTTGTTCCTGGTTACTTCACATCTTAGTTACTACAAAAACTGAGTTCCATTAAATAAAATAAAAAATCCTTTCAGAAGTTGCTTAGGGTCTAATAAGAAAATCTGAAATACAACTAAATTTTAAATACTCAAGTGATATTTAAAAACGCACATGAATTTATAAGTGGGTTGAATATGGGAGTCAGACCATGCAAATTACAACATCTGAGATCATCAAAGTACAAAGAGTAATAAATGTCATTACATTTTTTGAGACAGACAAAAACTGGGCAAACATTAAGAACTAGAAAAATACAAAGAAAATAACCAAGTGGTTCACATATAACTTAAAAAGAATTTATGGTTCAATTGAGGTAATTATGCAGTACATTCTGAAATGATGCATTTAAATGGTTAACAGTCTTAGCAAAAAGAAAACAGGAAAAAAACTAAGCAAAAAAAAGATGTAATTTTGTAAATGCTATTATTAAAATAGACGAATATTAAAAATAAAGTCTACTACAAAAAATGCTATCACTCAAAAAGTAATCCTATAAATATAGTAATGCAGCATGAAACATAATGTCTGTAGATTGGTTACAAGGTAAGAAAAAAATAATTGAAATTTTAAAATAATTAAATGATTTCTTCCTTATTAATAAGTAAAAAAATTACTGTTTGGGGTCGATTTCTTACTTTTTTCTTTAATTCTGTATTATTTCTACCCTGTTTTCTGTTTTACTTTTTTTTTTCTATTAAAAAAAAAAAAAACTGTTCAGGGGAAGAGAACAAGAAGTCACCAAGAAGCAAACTAGGGCAACAGCCAGACCGCAGCACCTCTCCATGAGCAGGCTGGGCAACAAGAAGAGCCAACCCTTCTCTGTCCCATCGAGAGACTGGTGATCTGGAGAAACACAGGCTGTGATGACCATGAGTATTGAGGTGTAATGCAATCTGATGCTTGTGGTGTTTGGTGTTTCACTGACTTTACATATCTAGGGCTGGTGGTGTGACCATCTATTTGGAGGATAACCATATGCAGTGTGGTATCTGGTGGGATCTCCTTCTGAGGGTAGTGGCCATTGTTCATTCCCTATCATCTTGTTTTGAAGTGCTGTATAATTTTCATTGTTTTCTTGTTTTAAGCTTTATTTGGTTTTGCTTTGTTTGATTTTATTACATCTGATGGCATGGGCAACTATTTCTAAGCTAGCAAAATATATTATGATAGCATTTTGGACTTAGTTTTAATATTGTCTTGTTATGAAGTCCTTTGTAGCATTCATTGTTTTGCTTTATTGGTTCTACTCTGTACTGTTTTGTTTGTTTTTCCTATGTCTGAAGGTATGGGCAACTATTCTGAAGACAACAGGAGTCATTATTGTAACCATTATTGATTTCCTATTGTTTTGAAGTCCTGTGTCACTTCCACTATTTGTTTTGATTGGCTTTATCCTATTTTATTTTGCTTAGTTTTATTCTCTTTAAAGTAAAAAAAAATCTAAAAAAAAAGAGAAAAATGTTATGGTCATTTAAGCAATAACAATATTCAATATTTGTGAATAACATTAACTGCTTTTAGTAAATTACAGATAGGTTAGAACTCTCTCACACTAACAAAGGGATAATAACCTTTTAAAAATGAAAAGTCAAAACTTTCATTTTGATTTATTGTGAAAAGTCTCATTATCATGAGAACAATCCAAATTATGATTTAAAAACATGTTATTTCAAATGTACTTTAAACTACTGCAGTTTAATAAGAAAAAACGTATCCAAACAAAGAAGAGCTAGGGAGAGGTAGGTTATCAGTTATCAATCTTTCTATGCAACTAATGATGCTTTGGAATGTAGCAAATAGAAAAGAATGGGCAGGTAGAGTCTAACTGAGAGTAAAATCGACTCTATTGCATAACAATGATGTATGATTTGTTTAAATATGTAGAACAAAGTTCACACTGCTACGGAAAGCAGACCAAACATGGGAAGAAATGGCACTGAGAAGGTTTAGGAGTCTGTTTTTTACACCAGTGGACTCTGACTAAAATCTCTCCCAAAGACCTAGTGCCCACTTTGTCTGAGTTTTAGGGCTTTCGAAGGAAAAGGAAGAGGAGAGGTACATAGACCGATCATAGAAGATTTGGCACATTTGATCAGAGGGTTGGTGGCATCATGGGATGCTGAAGGAGTCTGAACATCTCCTTATAGGCTAACAGTTACACAAAGGCAATAAAAACAAGGTTTACACAAAGGGAGGAGTGTGCTGAAATCTGGCTTGCCTGGACCTGACCACTGGATTTGGATGGGGTTCGTGGCGGGCTTCCTTAGCAGGTCTTTGTCTAAAATTTTAATTCCCTTTTATAACCAAGCAAATTATATCATAAACATAAAACCACGCTCATTATAGTTTATGGCAGTTTGTTACTGGACTAGGTCAAAAGGCTTTCTTCCTCTTATTCTTGACATTACAATTTCTTATCTAAATAAGAAACTGTATGTCATAGGAAAGACATATACTAGAAGGATTTTTGATTTTTTACCTGGCAAAAGTAATATGTTTTATTGGATTACCTTACATTTCTGTTTGATTTTTGCTTGTTTTGTGTTAGAGAGCAAGGCAATCCATTCCGCCTTACCTTTTCTCAAGGCCTCATTTTGTATTGTGCCTATTGACAGCAAAGTCTCCAGACATTCTAAATCTCCCCTAGTTTGGTGCAAGGTAGGTCAATGAATTTCTCCCACTCTTTCCAATTGTTCTTCCCTGCTCCGTCCTCTCCTCATGGAGGAAATAGTCCAGCCAAATTATCTGCCACTCTCACCATCACCAGTGCCTGTTCTGCTTTCCACAACGCTCTCTTCTCTCCTGCTCCAAATCTTGCTCAAAGCGTTTCCCTGCTTACCCAGATCCCAATCCAGGTTTGGGCTAGCTCTTCCTCAGCCCTGGATCTCATTCAAATATCTCTCACCAGTCCACTAAAACCACATCAACCCTTTTCCTCTCAGCACACATCCACTAGCATGCTCTGAAGGGACTAAAACAAATTATTTCTCACCTGCTACAACACGATTTGTTGGTCCCTATCAACTCTCCATACAACACTCCCATTCTTCTAGCTCAAAAGACAGATAGTCCATGCTGATTGGCCCAGAATCTCTGCGCTGTCAAGCAAACGTCCCCTCCTATTCATTCTGTAGTGCCCAACACACACACGCTTTTATCTTCTATTTCCCCTTCTACTAGTCAGTCCCAGATTTGAAGGATGCTTCCTTCACTATATCCATTGCCACAGCCTGTCTTCACTTTTACCTGGACACATCCTGAGAGCTGACCTGGGCTTTCTACCCTCAAGAAGTGAAACAGCCTTCATTCTTCTGACCAGTGTCTAGTCTATGATTTGTCCTTCTCCCACTTGTTCAGTTTTCACCTCATACCATATGTAGATGGCCACCTCCTCCGTAGGCACACTTATAAATCATCCAGACCCTCCTTCTCTTACAACACTGAGATAAAGAGCTCTTGTGTGTCTCCTTCCTGTGTTACATATAACTACATGGATATCGTAATATCGTAAGAATGAGTAACATAAGCAGTCCTTGTGTAAATTTTTAGTTTGAAATCAAGATACAAAACTGGAAGAAACCACATAATTTCTAAGGTTTCCATAGATTAAATTTCAAATTAAATGAATAACTTTTATTCTTCCCATCTTCCCTTACAGTATGAGCAACAGCAAGAGAACACAAACATTAATATAATGATTTAAAACATTCACATAATTTGAAACGAAATACAAAATTATTTTTAATAATTTGTTTAAAGATATAAAAACTCTACAAATTATTAAAAATCAAAAGAACATGAAAAGTCACTAAGAACTAAATAAGACTGTATAAGTGAAAAATACAACAAATTGAAAAACTCAATAGAGAGTATGTTAAACTCTGTTATAAAATGGGCTCTAGAAAAAATCTGACATTGTTTACAACTTAGTTTTTCTAGAAAAATCTTTAGGAAATGTGATGGGATAGATAAATGAGATGGAGTATAGCTCTAATTAATTCTGCATATCCTTCTGGGTTTGACTTTTCATTCAATTTTTCCACAGCTACTGACTTACCCCTTTTCATAAAATCATAATTAAGCTCAATTTTATATTCTTTTCACCCAGAGTACCAATTATTTTTCATTATTAATAATTTGTAACTCATGTAAAATTCCAAGTTAATTATAGAACTGTTTTATGTACCTGAAATTTTTACTAATGCAACAACCTCCTATTCTTCTCATCTCTCTATGTTAACTAGATTCTATGCTGAGAGACTGCAAAAGCATAAACAAACATAGAATTAATATAACTTATAGAATCTTGGTATTTTTCCAAGAAGATAGTTATTGATTACAAAGGTGAAATAGAGAACTTTCCATTGTCTTTATATTTTAAGTGACCAAAATTAATGTTTCCAATAACAATCTATCTACATGTGTTTCCTGATGTATTTTCTGGAGAAAGAAAAAGTTCACATCTGTAAGTATTTTTTACCAAAAATGCATAACCTCACTCTAATCATGAGATACTATGAGAAAAAAATTTAATTGATTTTCTAAAAATCATAAGACCTATGCTCTTCATAAAGCGAAAGACAAATGCAGACAGTGGGAACTGTCACAAGTTGGAAGGAGGTAAGAAAAGGTGCTAATAATAGCAGAGGGGTGGGGGCTGGGGATTTAGCTCAGCGGCATAAATGCCTGCCTTGTAAGCAGGCAGTCGTGAGTTAAATCCCTGGTGCCGATAAAAAGGAAAAAGGCCAACAATAATAATAATAATACAGGGGGTGACTAGAGGGGTAGTATAAAAGGCACCACAGGGTGATTATCAAAATGCTAATGAGATTTCCTAATTTGATAGGCTTATTATTCTTATATAAAATACCAATATCCCCTGAGTCAATTTAAAATTTTTCATTGTCATAACTGCATTTATTAATTGAAATTTAGGGAATACTTTTTAATTCAATATTTACTTTTCATTATAAATTCATACAATTTATGTAGCACTACATATTGTTTCTATATTTTTATTTTGTAATTTTCAGATCAAATTATCTGAAATTTTTAAAGAAACTTTTTCCACATTGTCTCCTCTGCTTTATTTTGTCTTGCTATCGTTTTTTAAACAGCTGCTCATGCCATCAGATTTAACATAATCAAACAAAACAAAAAACAATAAATCTCAGCCCAACAAACAATGAAAATGATATGATTTCCAGGTGGGCCTGCTTCCTGATGAGGCCTTGTTCTTTCCCGCTGCAGTCCATCAATGGCTCTGACTCTCACTGAGAGGCTTAGGTCTATTAGGTCTATAGGTCTCCACTCCAGCAGGGGCCTGCGCATAGCACTGGTGCCCAGGAAGGGTCACTTTCTGGTGGGGCTTGGTTCCCTAACCTCATGATCTACAAGTGGTGCTGATTCCACTTTTTTTTTTTTTTTTTTTTTTTTTTTTTTGTACCGGTACTAGGGATCGAACTCACGACCACGCGCTTGCAAGGCAGGCGCTTATGCTGCTGAGCTAAATCCACAGTGCTTACTGCCTCCACTTTTAATATTGCTTTGTCATTTTTTATTGCTTTTATTTTCTGCCATCATAAGACCTGATCCAAACATCAAATAAAGGAAAACTTCTAGTTTTAATTTCTAAGTTCAGTAATATAGCTGAATACAAAGTCAGCACAAAAATATATAGCATTTCTGTAAACAAATAACAAATGCACTGAGAGAAAAAATCAGAAAACTGCCATTTACAATAACATAAAAGAATTATAAACTTAAGAATCAATCTAACAAAGGAAATAAAAGATTTCTATGTTGAAAATTACACTACTCTGAAAAACGACATTGAAGAGGGTATCAGAAAAAGAGGAGATATCACTTGTTCTTGGATAGGAAGAACCAAAATTGTGAAAACGTTCATATTCTCTAAATATTTAAATCAATGAAAAAAACACCACTACCATACCTCACAGGATTAGAAAAAACAATCCTATAATTTATTTGGACCTAAAAGAAACATAATAGGAAAATCAACTGTTACAAACTAAAGCAAATCAGAAGTCATCACAGTCCCTGTCTTTAAATTACATTTCAGTGCTACTATGTTAAAAAAAACTGTGGTACTGAAGGAAAACAGCAACAACAACAACAACAACAAAAAAAAAAAAAAAACAGACAAACACACTTACAAACACACTCAATCAGTTGATTTTTGACAAATACGCAAATCATGTCACTAGAATGGAAGCCTCATTAGTATATGATGCTGGAAAAACTGGATTTCCACATACTTAAGATTAAGACTAAATCCCTGTCTAGCACCTTCCACTAAACTAAAAACAAAATGAATCAAAGATCTGAATATTGAAACAGGAATACTAAATCTGCTGGAAAACTGAATAGGTAGGACTCTGGACAACGTGGTAGAAGGCTAAGATTTTATGAACAAAACTTCGGTCTCTCTCTGTAGTGTTTGAAACTGAAATTGTAAATAAAAATGAAAATATATAATAGATACTGTGAAATAAGGAGAAACTGTTCAAAAGGAAATGATAACTATGGATGAAGGAGAGTGAAAGAAAAAAAAGGGAAGGAAAAAAATAGAAAAGAAGGATAAAACGAAAACAGAACTTTGTGAATGGAGAGGAAAACAGTTTGAAAGGAAGGGGATGGAGGGGAAAAAAAGGAATCAAAACATATGTAAAAACACAAATACTGTGTAATGCATGGGATCATTATGTGCACCTAAATTGTACCAATAAATTTCTCAAGATTCAAGTTGTTAAAAAGAAAAATCTTGTGTACTTACCATTAAAACAAATAGAATTACTTTGTTGGTGATTAAAATCATAAATGACAGAAATTAATGATGGAAATTTAGTGGTAAGCTTTGTTTTCACACTTTTTGTTCTAAAATTTTAAACTGATTCATTAACAAAAGATAAAAAAGAAAGAGAAAGGGTAAAGAGAGAAAGAAATATAATTCTTTTGGAATTGTATTTTTCTCTTCTGTTCAGTGTAAATTTGTAGGTACTGGCTATACCTTTAGATTTAGTAAAATTTAGAACTATAGTATGGGTATGTTACTATTAATGACCATTTAAATGGAAAAAGATAATTTTGAATAATATTTACAAAAAATCTATATTGATATCATGGTATTCCAATAAAAGGCAAAGTGCAATATTATGAAAGACAGAAACAAAAGTGATTTCAAGATGATTAAATTTATCACCCATTGAAATTTAAGTAAAATATAATTATTTTTAAAATGCTCATTAACAGTACACATGATATGATTTAAAAGATTGGATTGTATATCCCAGAAGAACAAACACATTGTAGAAATCATTGTTACATTGGATTAATATAAGTGAAAGGGTATGAAGAGACAGCTAGTTCAGGTAATCCTTGGAGTATAATAAAATCTACATTTATTTGAAGGGTAATCAGTTAATGGAAGATATACATATTCACTTTTCTTTGTAATTCTACTCAGATATTACACTTTTTAATCTTATTTTTGTTAATATGGTAGCTTATTGTTTAACTTCCTATATTTTCAAAATGTTTCAAAATTGTAAATTGAAAATTTAAAACCTTTTAAAGATAAATTCTGTTTAGGTACTAAACTATAGAGTTAAAATTCCACTCATGGAAAAATCTTAATAACTCATGTAAAAGATGTCTGCTTTCATAACTAAAATTAAGTTCTCTAGTTTAAAATTATGCTTCTCCCACACATTATTTTATATTAATTATTGATGCACAATATCTAGCTAGTTGATGCAAACATCTGAATATTATGGTCATTCTTTTTGAAAGAAATATACTGTTATTACAAATTACATTATTTCTTAACCATATATTTTATATGTAATGCTATACTAAAGATATATAACGATACATTATAGAATTAATCTTATATATCATATGTACAAATAAATTTGATACACAAAAAAAAATTCTGAAAATCAGCTGTAGAGGAGTACTCTTTTAAACCAGGACTCTGGGAAGCAGAGGATTCCAAGTCCATGATGAGCCTGGGAAAATTTTAGCTATAAATGAATGCATCAATGAATAAGGAATGAATGAACGGTCTGACATTGTAGTCCAGTGCATAGATTCTGTGTTCAATCTTTAGTAGAACAAACACTAAATTATTCAAGTAAAGTCCTGCTAGTTTTCTTTGTGATCAATGGGAAAACTGCTGGCAACAATGCATAATATTTAGGCATTATAAATATTTCATTTTATAAATTTGTCATATTATCCTCTTAAAAGTGTACGTAGCTTTCTTGGCATTTTTCTTCATAGTATGAAAACAATAATAAAATTTACGTTCAATTAACAACATTTTTTTTAAATTCTTCAGCTTTTTCACACTTTGAGTGAGGTGGTCTTTACTTAGTTCTCAAAAAGCTGGAAAGAATAATTTCAGGCAACATGTGCAAGACAACAGTCACATTGAAATCTTCCTTAAATTTATCTAATGAAACCATAGGACAGTGATGCTTCATCCAGCAGTATAAAAATATGTGAGACACAGTGAGGTGCATTTCAAAACTAAGTGTGTTAAAAAGAAAAAAGTATACAAGAAATTTTAACTAAAAATACTCTGTAATTGATAAATTTTCAACTGAAAGTTAGATTGGAAAGAATAAAAGATCTAGAGTGAAAGTTCACAGAAGCTTTGAGATAATTAAGATTTTAGTTTGAATAACACTTCAAACTCCTGGATTTGTGATTTTATTTTAACATGATTGATATTTCAAAGCCTCAATATTATCTTCTGTGATACTATTTTCTTCTAATGAAACGCAAAAAATTCATTACAAGGTGAAGAAAAGGGAATCATATATATATAAAACTTATATATATATAAGTTATATATATATATAAAACTTACCATGACTCATAATGAATTGGAACAGTTCAATATATGTTAAGTGATACCATTATCAAAACATACATGAATTTAAGCCAAGTCCTCATAATTTCAAAAAATGGAGAATTTGGCCTCTATAATATCCACCTCCTAACAATTAGTAGATATTAAGGACCCAGTTGGTAGTTTGTAATACATTCTAACACAGAGATGTAATCTTTTAGAAAGTTAATCTGTTTATTTACTCACTTGTGATAATTTGAAATTTAAGTGATAATAAATTCATTTCAAAGACATTAAATAGAGGATTAAAACAACTATAAATTCAACTTACAGTATAGCAGAAAATTTTTCCAAATTACTTTCTCATATCGTTCCTATTTATCATTAACTTTTTTGTCTTTCATAAAAGTTTAATTACTCAGTTCCATCTAAATGTCTGCTTCTCAGTTAGTCCTTTCATAAGAGTGTTCATTTCCTAGCATCAGTAAAAATGTTGTGTTTCAGTAAGAACAATGAAAAAAGTTGTGTATATTCCATTCCTCTGTAAATGATACTCAAATCTCTAATGCAAGCCATTACCTCTGAGATGTCTTTCTATGGAGACAACTACTACTGGATTTACAAAATCACCACATTATAATTCACAATATCTACAAAATCAAATAGTTTATTTCTACTTACAAATTTTTTGTCTGCCATATTCTTTAGCCTGAATAACCATGTCATATACCATTTAGTGCACTCAGAAACATCAAGATCATTTCAATTTCTTCTTCATCTCTTTTAACAGTCCTTACCAATCATTCTTCAGCCTTAACAAAGAAAATTTGATAAACAGCTACTGCTGGTTTTCATTTCTCAGATGTTTTTCTAAAATCCTTTCAGACATTAAGTGATTTATTCCTTTCAACAAAGCTGTTAGAGATGAAATATATTAAATGTGGACAGAGGAAACTGAATTATTTTCCATGGTTTCTAACAAGGGAACTCTGGTGTAAAGAACTTGGTTTCTGATCTTGTTACCAGAGAATCTCACGATATATTATTTTTCTTCCCTGTGAGCTAGTTTCCTGGTACAAGTTCTAACATCAGCCCCCACAATGAAGGAATGGTTAACTCTCCAGTGGAAGGAAACAGGTTTCTGATCTAAGCCATGAAAAAGGGAAAGGAATTCACAATTAAAAAGAAAAACTCTCCATGTACAGCCATATAATACACATCACTGGACTTGGATAAACATATCCAAAATGTAAAATCTCGATTAGAAAACCTTTCTGATTATTATAGAAGAGAACTGCAAACGTTTTCAAGGAGAACAATATATATATATGTGTGTATGTGTGTGTGTGTGTGTGTGTGTGTGTGTGTGTGTTTTCAAATTCACTTTGAACACTGGATTATTATGTAGGACCAAATAACTTACCATATATTTGTGGGAGAAAATTTAGTGGCTCTCATTTGCCATCAAAAAGAATTCAACCTTAAAAAAAATCTGGTTGGCTTAAAATGGTATACCAAACTACCTGATATTAAATAAAGAAAAGAATAAATAGATTTGGTTTCACTGAGTAAGGACATTCACTACATTATGAACATAATTAACCTTCAGTTAAAAGTTCATTTTCCCATGGACACTCATAACTATTTACAATAAGTGTTGCCTTTGCTATCTGTCAGGAGTATTTCTCAAACAATACCTAACTGTGACTGTAATCTTGGCATTATTGCTAAGAAATATAAGACTAATATTTCTAAAGTTAACAGAACATCAAATTATTAATTACTAAATAATTTAATTAAAATAAATGTTTTATTTTAGGTCAACTGGCTTCTCGTCTTAGATTTCCAATAGTATTATAAAATACTTCAGAAGAAAATCTTAAACTCAGAAAGGCTTTGAGTTTGGGCTCATCACTTCAGAGATTTTCTTTGGTAGCAAGCAGGATCCGCCATAGTAGGCCAGCAGCTCACTTCAGGACAAGCAAGAAGAGAGAGAGAGAGGACTGGCACTGCCAGGCTTACTCTTCCTTCCTCTTTGTTCCTGCTAGGCCCACAGCTCCTGGACGAGGTCGGCCACATTCAGGGGCTGGAGACTCCTTCAGCCTATGGGGCCAGTGCCTGTGCCCTCTGGAAATCCCCCAAAACACATCAAGGACTGTGTTTACTAATTTTCTAGACATTCCCGAGTCCAGCCGAGTTGGCCATAAAGGCTAACAATCACAATGCTGAACAATGGTGACAAGGGGTGATTTTGTTAATATTTATCATATATTAGAAAAGGTAATAATTGTCTCTACTAAATAAAGGTTTTTTTGTTTGTTTTTTATTTTGCTCTTGGTTTGGTTTTATTGTTGTTGTTGTTGTTGTTGTCTTTTCGAGACAAAGTCTCACTGTGTGATTCAGGCTGACCTTGGGCTCACTTTGTAGCCCAGACTGGTCTCAACCTTGCAATAATGCATCTGCCTCAGCCTCCTGGATGATGAGAGTACAGGAATATACCACCAAACCAAGTTACTAATCACTTTAAAGTCATATATTTGAAGGGGACTGCTGGAGGTGAGTACCAGTACAGGCCCAGGGAGATTTTAAGATCATTACTCCTGGTGCTTTAGTGTCCACCCAGCTTCCAGTCACAGTAGACTGGGCTCTGCAGATTTCACAGGCCTACCTGGGTCATGCTCAGCGAACTTTTTTCAGCCCTGAAGCTGAGGCCACAAGAAGTGAGTTCCAGTGCAATTGGTGCAGGCCCAGAGAGAGTCTAAGATCATCGCTTCCAGGAGTTAAGTGCCTGATCACCTTCCAGACACACTGGACTAGGCTCCAGAGGTATCACGGGTTTGAGTAGACCATGCCCAGTGGCTTTCTTTAATCAGGGGAGTGGAGGGTACGTGAGATGAATTCCAGCACATCTGTGCTAGCCCAGGGAGAGCATTGGACCATCACTCCCAGTGGGTAGGAGCCCCCACAGCTTCCTGG